ACACACACACACACACACACACACACACACACACGATATATATATATATATATATATATATTTAAATACATACATATAACACATAAATATACGTACATACATACATACATATATGCTTACACACACACACGCACACACACACACATATATATATATATAAATAAATAACTATATAAACAAATAAATAAATATACAAATAAATACAAACATAACGTATCTCACCTGCGCCTATAGCGTTTATAACCTCGTTCCGGAACTCCTCATCAAACGGCAGACAATCCGGTGACAGATGATTGAGATACTTATCGCCAATCTCCACGGCAGTCAGAGTGTCGTCTGGGTCGGTAGTGGGATCGACGGCTACGTCAAAGTCCACCATGAAGTCCAGAAGATGCGCTGAGCACTCCCGCGCCAGATACAGGCGGAAGAACATACGCCCGCGCCCAGGTCTGATCAGGGAGGGTAACGAGTACGCTTTGGCCCACAGCGAGGCTGATGTACTGATGCCATACGTTTGCATTAGCTTCACCCGTATAGGTGGGAGCGGTCCGTGAAGCCCGGGAGGAAAGCTTTTTATATCTCTATCGGTTTCTAATGACCCGGAAACGGTAGCGCCAGTGCTAGGCTTGTTCTCAGGCGAGGCTGTGTCTGGGGTACCGGAAGCACACGCACTGACTATGATGTTGTTGATGGTAACGGGATTGGCAAGAGATTCCAGGGCAGGTACAAGTACGCACGTGGTCAGGAGCTCGCGTAAGATAAGTAGCGCAAGATCATCCTCTCTGATCTGTGAATGCATGTGGTGAGGATTCAAATTTAGTACCGTATTTGAATATATATATATATATATATATATGTATATATATATATAATTATATATATACATATACATATACATACATATACACCCACATACACACACACATATATATATATATACATATACATACAGACACAGACACAGACACACAGACACAGACACAGACACAGACACAGACACAGACACAGACACAGACACACATATATATATTTATATATTATATATATATATCTAAATATGAATACAAAAACACTTACATGTGTTTATGTATATGCATTCATACATAGCACATGCATATATCTGTATTGGACGACTATTCAACGTTGTTAGTATAAAGGGTTCATTGATTTGTACACCTTCTACACAATTTGCGAGTGAGACAGCAGATATTAGAAGCTTACCTGGCCAACAGAAGTACGCGATACTCCTGCTCAACGATTAGACCAAATGAACAATATGACATCACACCACAAGCATGATAGCCGCTAAAACTATGTGCGACTCCGTCTGTGCCGCAACTGCGTAGGTAGTAGACGGGATACAAACCCAAACCAAACGCCACGCAACATACAAGATCAGTGTATTCAACACCAGTCCCCCGACAACAGAAATTAACATTAGACAATCTTTCTCCTTCGTTTGTATGCACCTACCTGTGTGGGTAGTAGGCGGGGCAAAACAGCGGCTATGGCGGCCCGGATATAATCGACCCGCCCCTGATGTGTGAGTATGTCAAATCCGTCCTGCAGTAATGTGGTAGAAACCCAATTATATACGTATACATATAT